TAAAACTTCAACTCAAATCCTCGTTTAGAAAACACTTTCAGCAATTAAAATCTTCATGATGGATCTAAAATCAATTTCCAACACCGACAATGAAATTGGAAACTAAAAAACGTAGAAATCTTGCGGATATATGAACACTTATTTTTAGGGCGAAATAGATAGTCTAAATAATTTGTTACAACATATATTATTTTTAGAGATTGAAATCCTAATTTTTTCCCACAATCACAATATTCAAGCGAAGATGATGGATGTAAAGGCTTTCCAATGTGTGAATTACAATTTTCAATGAGTTATGAGGTAAGGCTTTTACTTATTTTGATAGGGCTACAGCCCTATCAAAACGTTTTCCTTTTTTTTTTTTTTAATCTCTAAAATTTGGGGTCCTGAATTATTCATAGATGGGAGTGAATGGACCATATGCTCCTATAATATATAATATTTTGGTTTCATTCATCTCTTTTGGCTTTTAATTCGTCTAAGTATTTTTTTAAGAAAGAGAAAGCATTCAGTAAGACCTTTTACCTTTCCAGTAAAGATTCAATAAATTTGACCAGCTTGAGGCATACTTTGATTTGTATTAAAAGTTCGAGAAAGTTTTCCTCATACAACCCATGGAATTTTATGAGGAGTGTTGTTTTTACCATCATGTTAACATGAACTATCCCAGTGTATATGTTCTCTATAAAAAAAGGGGGAAAATATCATTTTAAGTTATTAAAATCCCTTAATAAATTATTAACTCGTTCAAAGCATTCCAATTAACATTTAAAGGGTGTACATTTTAAAAATTTTATTTCACTCAACTCCTGTTCAGAAAATATCTTCAGGGTTAGGCAAAACAAACATGGGTACTCCTATCATTGGGTTGAGGCCTAAATTATTGAAATGGCCCTGCTTGGTCAAAGTTGCCGACCTTAATTATGGGCCAATTGAGAATTTTCCAAGTATATGAGTGAAATGAAAAAAAAAAAACACAAAACATTTGATTTGGATATTTTGACCCTCTTAATAATTTTAATCCATGTTGACAGATATTTTTTCTCAAAAGATGCTTCACAAGTTTGTTTTGTTTTTTTTAAAATGCTCCTAATTAATCTGGCCCATAGATTTACTCTCGATGTTTACTTCATGAACAATAATTAGATGTAGGGATAATTTAAAATATAGGAATTCAATATTTTAAAATCTTTTTTATTGTAAATCAAAGTCAATAATGAAGTTAATAATTCCCATCATGACCTTTTGCCTCATGAACAATGTACAATCTGCCAAGGCGGGACCATGCTAGTTTCCTGCATATGACTTTTTTATTTATTTAGAAGTAATTCGTCAGGATCATGCACCATAATTTTTTTTTATTTTTTATAAATTGTCCATCTTATACGATATAAGTAAGGTATACCACTAAATTATGTCGGAAGATATAGTTTTGGTGTCAAAAACCTTATAATAATTTGAAAATTCATTTTCAATCCAAATTATGAAAATTTAAAATTAAAAAATGGCAGAGAAAAAAAAGGCATATAACCACTCGAAAATCTTAAAAATAAATGATCCATATAACTTATAACAAGGTACAACATTTTTAAGGCTTAAATTTTTTAATTTTTTTTTATATCCATACGTCTACACGTCGAGATGCTCAATGGGGCGATTTTCTAGAATATTCTTTTCTACTAGATTTTTTGAGTTGCACCCTACTTATGTAGTATAAGTTTGCAATTTCATATAAACTTTTTCTTTGAATAGAAGATGGTTGTTTCCTTTGGTGGAATCTCTCTCTCTTTCTCTCTCTCAATTGGGTAGTCGTCTTGTACCTTGAGGAACGCCTTGACCCCATGACCAGTCTTTTGATGTTGAGAACTGGGATGAGCTCTACAATGGCTTTCTCCACTATTTCGCTCTCTATAAGCATAATATCCACCTTCACCTGTTTTCTCAAACCTCCAACATTAATTAATGAAAATAAAACTTTTGTTATATGTGTGAAGCCAAATCACACATGTGTGTTTTTGGGCTTCATTTGTTTTATATTTCGTGTTGATTTTTATTCTTTTATTTTAGGCCGTTGGATTGGTTTCTAATCCAAGTGATGTGAGGTTGTAAGAACTTTCGTCTTTAAAAGAGCTTTTGTTCCTTGTTTTAGTGAGAGAGAGAAAAGAAAGAGAAAAGGAAGAAAATGAGCACGCACATAGGGTTTACTGCTAATCATGGTTTTCTCAAATTTGTAGAGAGAAAAAGTAGAGATTTTTGGGCATACACTTCGGTGTTTTGGGACCCCGTTTCAGACCCTATTTTAGTTTGACCTTGTTTTGGGCCATGTTTAGAGAGAGTTAAAGCTGTTGGGAATTGGAGTTTTGAGACTCGATCTCTCTTGTAATCTTTCGAAAATTAGTAAGTAAAGCCTCGTATAAGTCTCACGTGGATATAGGTCACGTTTTGTGATTTAACCGTGTTAAATCTTTGGGTTATGTGGGTTGTTTGCCGCTGTATTTTTCATTCAATGATGTTCTTTTGATGCCATGTTATTTCTATTGTTTGTTTGTGTAGATTTGAATGCACAATAGCTGTGAATGTTATAAATATTTGTTGATTTTTTACCAATCGACCACAACAACTGGTAGTAGAGCCTATGGTATTTTCTTCATTGTGTCCATGAAGAAAAGGTTTTTGCTATTGTGGTTATTTTTTATATTTTCCCTAAAATGGAAAGAGCAACAGAATTTGAAAAATTAAATCAAAGTAATTGGCTAATATAGAAGAAGATGATGGAAGATTATCTTGTTGTAAAGGAACTAGATAGACCCCTTCGAGAAAAAAAGGCCATGGAAGATCGAGAATACGATATTCTTAATCGAAAATTTTGGCAGAGCTTTGGCAAACTTTAGAACAATTTTTTGAGCAACCCTCTAGTGTAAATAAAATGCTTGCGATGAAAAAATTGTTTCTTTTGAAAATGAAAGAATGTGTAACAAGTAGATCGCATTTGAGTGAATTTAATTTAATTTCTGCACAATTAAGGTTTCTGAAAGTGAATTTGGATAAAAAAGTGTTATGTTTGCTTTTGCTGAGTTCTTTGCCTCTAGTTGGGATACTTTGGATACCATTGTGATAAATATAATGGGTAACAAATTTAATTTGAAATATGTTGTTGCTTCATTGTTAAATGAAGAGACTACAAAGACATCCATACAAATGCTTATTGAATTAAATCAAGCATTGACAGCAAGAGATAGAGAAAGAACACAACATAGAGATCAACCATATGGATTTAATAACGGTAAATATCATGGTAGAGGCAGAACCAAGTCACAGGGCAAAAACGTTATTTGCTGGTATTACAAGAAACATGTTCATATAAAGAAAAACTGTTATGCTTTGAAAGATAAACAAAAAGCCCAGGGTAAAGATGGCCATGCCGAAGCAAGTAAGATATCTAATGATGAAGATGGGGTCATTTTTAGTATTACATGCATAACACTATTTATTTAAGATACTTGAGCTTTAGACTCTGGTGCTTCATTTCATGTTTGTTCAGAAATGTCATATTGTTCATTCTATACAAATGTGAATGGTGGTTTTGTCTATCTTGGTAATGATAAAGCTTGTAAAATTTTGGGATTTCAAAATATTCACATAAAAATGTATGATGGTATGGTTCGTACATTTGAAAATATGAGACATGTGCCAGATTTGAAAAAAAAACTTGCTTTCACTTCCTACTCTCGATATGGAAAGGTACAAATTTGCCAAGCAAGGTGGAGTGCTCAAGTTGCAAAGGGGGCTCTGGTGATTATGAAGGGAGTGCGGGAATGAAACTCATATAAATTGTTTGGGAGCGCAGTTATAAACAAAAGGGTAAATTTGGTTAAAGAAGAAAAAGAAGTTCGACAAAAAGCATATGGTTTGGTAATGAAAAAACTTTGATGGTACAAAGTAAGTTCTTGACAAGGATAATCGGCAAGACTTGGAGCTCTTACAAGAAGATGTGAAGCCGGAAGCTCCTCATGAGTTTTCTTCGAACTAATGTTCAAAATTTGGTAAACGAATGGCCAATGTATTTAGAGAGTTGCATCCCACTCTAAGTTGATTTACTTAATTATCATAATTTGTATAAAAATTATCATTTCACTTGTTTGTGTTTTTCTTGATTGGCTTGTATTTAGCCTGGGAAGAAAATGTTGGAATGAAGTGAAATGGATACTTCATAATTTAAGAAGTATGGGCATGGATTGCCAAGATTTTCAAGACTTCGTGGGAGATAGTGATGCAAAAGATCTTGGAAATATGAAAACAACCACCGGTTGTGCTGATAGGTGTATACGCAATGGTTCATCTAAAGCATGTGTGAATGCAGGATGGCGAAAAGAGCTCGAGGATGCAAGTGTTGAAGAAGGTGAAGTTCGTATGAGAAGTACAAACACGAAGCAAGATGAGCAAGGTATGCTCATGGAGGAGACGTAACCTTGAGATGATGGAGAATTGTGCATTGGTGTTAGTTTTAGAGGCTTGGTGATTTGTCTTCAAGTAAGAGACTATTATATATGTGACGCCGAATCACACATTCTGAGTTTTTGTTTTTCATTTTTTTTATATTTTGTGTTGACTTTTTTTCTTTTTAGATTGGTTTCTAATCCAAGGGATATGAGGTTGTAGGAACTTTCCTCATTACAGGGGCTTTTATTAATTGTTTTAGTGAGAGAGAGAAAAGAAAGAGAGGAAGAAAAGGAGAGCACACACGTGGGGTTTATTGCTGGCCTTGGTTTTCTCCACTTGGTAAAGAGATAAAGTGGAGATTTTTACGCATATACTTAGGTGTTTTGGGATCCTGTTGCGGGCTCTGTTTTAGAGAGAGAAAGTACACTTTTGTAGTGAGTTTGGACCTTATTTAGAGAGAGTTAAAACTGCTGGGAGTTAGAATATTGAGACTTGATCTCTCTTGTAATCTTTTGAAATTAGACAGTAAAGCCTTGCACCATTTTTCCGTGGATGTAGGTCACGTTTTGTGATCAAATCATGTTAAATCTTTATGTTTTATGGGTTGTCTGCTGCTATATTTTTCATTCCAAAATGTTATTTTGATATCATGTTATTTCCATTGTTTTTTTATGTATATTTGAATGCAAAATAGCTGTGAATGTTATAAACCCTTATTGATTTTTTCACCAATCGACCACGACAACTCTATTTCTATTTTCTAAAATAGAAAACATAAATTAAAAATATTTCAATTTTATTTGAATAGGGTTTCTATGAGTCTGCTGACTCATATGTGCTTGTGCCCTCCCCCCTCTAAAGTCCATCTCAAAGATAGAATTTAGTTCTATAACTTTAGTGAATTATCATCTAGGTCATGATGATCTTGAATAAAAAAAATGGACAACTTTTAAATTAAAAAAAAAAAAAATTGATTTTTTAGCACTGATTGTATTTGGGTGCCTGCTTCTTGACATCCATCTTAAAGAAGGGCGTGTGATGGTCAAGGACCGCATGCATCTCTTGACTCATAGATAGCTTTTTCAAAACGTTTAGAAACAATATATAATAAGACCATTTATCTTTGGTACAAGATGGTCTCAATTAATCTTAACCATTATATGTGAATTAAATGGCTGCATTTATTCCATTAACCAAACTCAAAGTTCAAAAGGAATTTTCTCGAACTTTATGACACACTTAAGCTATCAGATTTCAGATCAGATGGTTATGAATAACTGTGACATCCTTGTATCAAAGTACATGGTCTCGTTGTATACAATCCCAATTGCTTATCATTTGTTATCAATTTTACGTTTTCCAAAAACATTTGTTGACCCACACGCGAAATCGGATGGAGTAGTGAAGAGAGAACGCATGCTTTGCTTTTGATTTTCCAAAATTTTACCTTAGATTTGGAGCATAGGCTGATGTACTTCTGTAAAAGGCTTCTCCTCCTGACACTTTCTTCATTCATATAGGCCTTCAGATATTCTGGACCAACTTGGCTCTTTGGAATCCTTCCCACTATAAAAATAAGAGATTAGTTTTTCAAGGTTAATGAAAATTGCTCAAATCTATCATGAATAGTTGTTGCTTTTGTCAATTCAAATTATAGGGTTTTAATAATTTTAAAAAATGAAGGGGGATTCTAACGGGAACCAGGATAGTATCGATACCTTTCCAAATCCGGTTCGGTTTCAGCTGATTTTTAGTCCAAATCAACAATTCCCGATCTGAATAGCCAGGTTTTGAAACACTACTTTCTATATTTCCCATGTATGAGTCTTCATACCATGTACTAACTAGACTTAGGGTTGGTACTGGGCTTGGGGTGGGCTGGCCTAGCCGAGCCTAGGCAGGCCTGGACCATCTCGAAGGGATCTTGTTTGGCCCAAGATTGGCAACAAACCCAAAATAGTTAAAAAAATTAAGAAAAATATAGGGCCAGGCTGGTCCTATCATGGCCATGGCTCTAACCTGCTCTACCCTGCTCCAGCCTTCAATCCATTTTGTGGCCTAAACCCTTCTTTTTCAGAGCTAGACCAACCGGGCCGAGCCACTCAGCTCACTGCCAGCTCTAATACGTACACGTGATTGAAAGATGGTAACGGTGGATTTTAGGGTGTGGTTTGTATATGGCTGAGGTTCTAAGCAATTAAAGTAGGGCACAACTTCAAATAATGTCAAAGATGTGTTTCAATATTAGAAATCTTTGTCATGGCTTGAAAAAAATTTTCCATCTCTAATTCTAAAAATTTAAAATATAAAAAATAATGTAGATCGAGCAAATATATAAAGTCTCGAAAACCTTTAAATTTGATGGTCTAAAAATAAGATGCACTATTTTCAAGACTTGAAATACATTTTTTATCAAATCCATCCATTTTAAGGTTGAGATGATCAATTTGAAGCTTATTGGGCATCGAAACAATATCTCCTAGTGAAATTTTTTACTTGCATCATAATTTGATTGTTTGTGGCCCCACCCTTGTATAAATTTTTCCTTTATAAATTGGCCTAACTTCAATGGCATGACATGGGGCTTGTGAGAAAAGTCAATACTATGGACCTCAACTTTAACTTTTTGTGTTTAATTGACCTCAAATGCTTAGCATACCCCACAAAAGACATATGAGAGAGACAGATATGGTAGAATAGCTAAAAGAGGCAATAAAGGGGGCCCAAGCCCTATGAGCAATATCCCCACTATTTTCACTGATACCTGTTAACTGTTGGTAAATTTTCTAAGAATGAGCTAAAGATAGGGTCCTACCTAGGGGGTCGATATCTTAAATATGATCTTCAAAGAGTTTTTTTTTTTTTTTACTACAATGAAAACTTTTTTTAATAATTAGTTTGTTAGCTGTTGATGTTAGCAACATTAATTATCGTCAAAGCTTTTTTCCAACTAATTAAGATCGGCTATACAAATTTTGATCTGCCATTCTGCTCAATTAAAGTGATAGTAGCAACACTACATAAAATTCGATTCCTAAACCAAGGGATTTTTTTTTTTTTTTAATCACCCAATCATCCCAACTACCTTTCACTTTCTTCTCTGCAGAAACTTCGCCACCTATTATTTACATACAAAGCTTCACTCTTTCCAATGTATATGATAATCCTATCTATAATAAGCTTACAATTTCTAGTTAATATACCTGAAATATTTTGAAGTAAGGTTGACTAAGTTCCAGATTTTAAAGGTTGAATTAATTTTAAACTTTTAATTATAATTAAACTATGCATTTAGTTGATTATTTAATAATGCTTTTGAATAGTTGGGAAAAGTTTATGATAATGATTATTTAATGACATTATTGAAGTCCTACTTGCAGAATTATTGATATTATCAGTTTAGTTTATTATGAAAAATTGTTTCATGCAGGCTGGACCTCATTTCTACAATATGCGGTCCAGAGGTATAAAGCATCCATCTTAAAGATGGATGCAAATAGATGATCCATCTAAAAACAAGTGTAACTAACGGTCCAAATTTTTTTTAATATAATTATTATTTTTAATTTTCAAATTTCATTTTTTTTTTCATATTCATGAACTCTATGTTGAAGATTATATATTTTCTAAAAATTAGGATTAAATTAAATCTAAAAAAATATGTTTATTGCCAAGCCCACATTTCTACAATATCCGGGCTGGCCGCATAGAAACTGTGTCTATCTATTATGGGTTTATCAAAGACTTATTTGTGATTATTATTGTAGATTGACTTAATTTAGTCATCACAATAATCTTTTTCCTTTCAATCCAAATTTCACTCCACCCTTTACTGGTGAAGAAATTAAGCATTTGAAAACATTTTTGTTTTGTTTTGTTTTGGGGGCATGTAGAAATGGAATTTTACATAATCCGATACAAGCCTTTTCTTTCTCCTCCTCCTTATCGTCCTTTGTCTAGAATCTTTCTTCCTGAAATATGCCATCATCATGATAGCTCATTTTTAGCCTATATTTCTCTCTGATTGTCTTAACTCTTGATTATTATTCTTGTTATATTAATATTTTATAAGACATATACAAGTTTTTCTGAGCATGTTAACCTACTTAAAAAAAATTGCAACTCTATGAGCCTTTTTCCAACTATGTGATTTGTAACTATCATTTCAATTAAACATTACGAGTATACGAATTGTCAGCAAAAAAAAAAACAAATATTGGATGATAACTTATGTGATTGTTTATCATTATCATAGTGCAAAATGGAGAAGAAAAAGAAAAAGGAAGAACTTTTGTAAAAGATTTACGAAGACCAACATAATAATAACAATAATAATATTACTGAGATACATAAATAGAACCATGAAAATCATGGCAAATAACTTTGGAAGCTCGAACTAATTATAAATGTAATTCCATTTATTTTCCCCTAGTTTTATCGAGCAAACTAAATGGAATAAACTTACCCAGTTTGAACTTGATTTCTTTTCTTTTTTTCCTTTTTTTTTTTTTTTTCTTTTTCCCACTTTGAAGCTGATCATAGTCCCCAATAAATCCCCTAAAATTGATCTATAAAAAGATATTTAAAGAAAAAAAATACCTGGACTTGGTATATAATTGACTGGAGGGAACACATGAACAAGATATACTAAGCATCCTGGCTTGACCACAAAGTTTATTGCCCACCTAAGAGCATCATAGCTCGACTCCTTCTTTCCAACTGCTACATATATGTCATCCTTACTTTCCCTCTCTACAATTTCTATGCTTTCTCTCTCCTCCAACACCTCTTCGATCTCCGACTGGAAAGCTCTCGAGAAGTACAGCTCCGGCTTGGCCTTGGTCTCGGCCGGAGTCTCATGGCGATTGTCGTCTCCTCTCTTCATGGTGTTTTACGAGTAAGAGAGAGAGAGAGAGAGAGAGAGAGAGAGAGAGAGAGGAGGAAACCAAGAGTGCTCCTTCACTGTCTTGGGGTTATGAAGAAAGGGTTGGTGGTGTTCTTGTGGTTATCATTGGCTTTGGCGTTTTGGAACGCCATTTGCAGGAGAGTCGTTGCACTCGAGATGAGACCGAGGGAGCTTTGTCAAACTTTGTAGGGTCATGTATATATATGTATATATACTGAAAAGATTTTCTCCCCCCCTAGGGAGGATACTATCCATTTCCCCCTGTGGGAATAACACATGCTATGGATAATTTTTGGATCTCAAATATTTGGGGATGTAATCTGTACATCCTATAGAATAATTTCAGTAAAAATAATTTCCAAAATAAACTTTTTATATGCTAGAACAAACTTTTTATGCCTCAGATTGAATGGAGATCGTTCAATTTTTTTAGAGGCTAGATTTAAATGTTATGAAACTTACAATTCAATTTTTCTTGTAAACATATCATCTAGTAATTATTATATGTTTTCCAAATTTTTAGAATAAAAAAAGTAGCGTATTTTGACCGAGGGAGGAGATGTGCAGTATCCTCCCTAGGAAGCATAGTACATGCTCTCACATATATAATTACATATAGAAATTTTTATTTCGAGCTTTTTTATATGGAGTCATCTTTTGTGTCACTTTATCACTATTTGATGTTATTTTTTAAAAAAATTACAAGCACCCCTACCTGTGGAGTTTTTTTTCCCCCCTAAATTTCCTTCCAGTCTGACAATAACACCAGATGGGTGATAAACCCCACGCGCTCCTGTTAAATTAAAGAATGGCACATACTCTTGGAGGAGTATAGGTTAAGTTTATTCTTTTACAAATAAAAACTACTTGAGAGGATTTTTTTTAATTTAAATTTTTGGGAACCACTTATATTTTCGAAAGTTAAAATTTGAAATTTTAGTTTTCTAATATTTAGATTTCATCTTCTATGAATTAGTTCAACGGCATTCAACACGCCTTTTTGGAAATGACCAGATCGGAGATATCATAGCGATACTGAGAAACTTCCATCCTGGTGTAAACATCTGAGATCTACAATGTCAAGCCGCATTAAAATTGAATGATTTCTATTCAATCTTGAGATAAATTTTTTTTATTTTTTATTTTTTTCGAGTGTGTAGAGGGCGCAATCAGAAAAGTCTCTTTATTGAGGTTAATCTATGAGCTGAGGAGGTTACATCCCCAAAATTTGAATTCTTTGTACCAATCTTAGGCATGATTTTACTTTAGGGATGTCATTTGATAAGGTTGCGCATGGATTTAGAAGGAAAGAACCCACATAGCAATCAAACAAAAGAGGCATACAGAAAAGATGAAAGCTAAAGATAAAAAGTGGACTAAGGGGTGCCCTTTTCTTTAATTGCCAAAGGAATTTATACTCCCTCGGGAATATACTGTTTATTTACCCCCACGTATAAAACCACACACCTAGGATTAATTTAAAGATCCCAACTTTTGGGGTGTAACCTCTTCAACCCATAGATTAACTCAATGAAATTTCAATCATATCCTCTATACACTTGAAAAAATAACGTCTCAAGATTGAATATAGATCGTCCAATTTTTAGAGGGAGAGATCTAAGTGTTAGAAATAGCGAAATTGATGAAGATGTCCCACACAAAAAAAGTGAATGGGCGGGTAAAGTGGAGATGTACAGCCAAAATTTTACGTGAATGCCACATACAAATGAAACTGAAGGAAAAGCTCCATAGAACAACTGTGAGACCAGCTTTTCTTTATGGGACAGAATTTTGGACGATAAAAAAACTATATACCTATAGAATGAATCTAGCGGAGATGATGATGTTGAGATAGATGAGTGGCAAGACAAGAATGGAAAGAAAATTCAAAATGAATACATTATAGTAGATTTTGGTGTGGCATCAATAGGCGATAAGATGAGAAAGAGTACACTTTGATGGGTTGGCCAAGTGTGGCGCAGACCCAGTACAACACATGTTAGGAGGTGCGAGTTAGTTCAAGTGGAAGGATAAAAACTGAAATATCAAAAGTAGCATTTGAAAATAATCATCTAGTGATAATTAGGTGGTCTGAAAATTTTAAATTTCAAAAAATCCTCCCAAATAGGTCTTTTTACCAAGAAAAAAGTTTTATATAAGGATGCAACCTTCTAATGTAGAACTACAGATGCACCTCAAAAATCCATCGAAAAAGATAATTTTAATGTTGAAGAACCCTTTGATTGATCATCTTGACATAAAAAAATCCTCCCAAATTCAAGAGCTTTTCATATATGAACACCTTTTGGGTCCTTTATTATCATTCGATGTTATATTTGTCGAAAATTACGAAGAGTACCCCTCCGGTGCTCCCTCGGGTGCATGCTTGGCACCGGCGTTGATGGTCGTCTTTTTCAACCTTATATACACTTCTTCCTTATTTAATCGGTGCTTGTAGCATGTTCTACAAGAGAATTACTGTACACTTACTCCCACATGCAAAAAAAGCACTTGTGAAGATTTTTTTTTTTTTTTAATCTAAAATTCTAGGATCCACCTAATAACCACCGGATAATTATATTAAAGAAAAAACTGAATTTTTTATTCTTAAACACAGATTTTATTGGCTAAAAATTAAATTGTCCCCGTTCAATCTCCATAGAGAATGAGATTTTATTTTATTTTATTCTGTTTTTATGAGGTTCGTTGCTAGGTTCAACAAGGGGATACATCCCAAAATTTGGAGTCCTTCTTAACTTGAGTTTTTACATGAGGGAGCAAATGGACAGAGTGGTCCTACTGAAGTTTTGTTTTAATTTATTTGGGTGAATAGGTGGGGGAGAACCCCTACCCTTGATAGGAATTGTGCCTAGGACGTAACGTTGCAAGTCGTCAAGCACTAACATGTTTAATAGCAGGGAAACTATAATATGATCCTCCGTATATTATTATAATGACTAAATTACCCCCAGTCTAAGGAATGCGAGAACTTACTTATTTCATGGATTTCAGAAATTAAGTGCTTTGGAAGAATGTCAAAAGTGATAGAAGGGGATTTTCCTCTCTCTCTCTCTCTCTCAAAACACACCAAGTCTCTTTGCACCTAGGCAATCTCTCTCAAAACACATTCAAACACACCAGTCTCTTTTCACTAGGCATTCATCCCAAAAGATTTGTGACAAAATTGTGGTCCATTTTTCACATGCCCCACTATGGGAGCTGCCTATTTAGGACAGGAAGAGAAAAGCAGGAGAGAAAAGGAATCCTCTTTTCTAACTTTCTAAGAGTGAGGTCCAAGGACCACCAAATGCCACAATCGTCACTCCTCACTCCAAGTACAAAAAAGGCATCCACATTTTTCTCTTCTCACCACATTCACACAAGTGGACTTTCACCCAAATTCTACACTTCTGATTTAAAGTGCCATCACAACCTAGACCCTAATATAGAAACAGGTGCGCATATTTGTTTTAAATAAAAATAAAAAAAAGATGGTACACATAAGTCAACATATGACCTGAAAATGCAATATTAATCATGGTCCTTAGTTTAGAAAAAAGGTGATTGGAGAGGACCCACTAACTTCATTAAACTCTCAACATCATACCTTCAAGATAATTTGTCACTAATGTCAGATGTTTGGACCTGTGGTCATATTTTATAGGGGAAATTGGTTGTAGTGATGGAGTTTGGTCATGTAATATACTTAGCCATGGTTGAATTTTGTTGGTATGGGACAGTTTGGATTTAATTTGAATGACAATCGGCAAATATTAAAGGCTGTTTACAAAGAGATTATTTATCTATTGTACATGGGGGTCATCATTATTCTTACTTATTATATGTCAAATTGTAACACTCTTATATAAAACTTGCATACATCTAGGCTAACGTTGTTTGTGGTAGTTCCACTAATGGCGTTTAAAAAATCGGATCATCCAGGTGGATCGACCCTCCATGGTACCAAACTAGATCAGCCAAATCAGCAATCTAGATCGTTGAATCAGTGAAATTTTGGTAGAAAAATTGTAGAAAAATTAATCAAGGGGGATTTGAGGAGGAGCGACCCAAATTACCCACCCTCCAAACCTAATCTGGACCGGCGATTCTTGTTTTAGAGGCGATTTTTAAAACACAAGGGTCAGAGAAAGTATACAATGAGATTTACCTTTGATACAAAGAAATCACAATTACCTATAACCATCTGATGCAAAATCTGATAGCTTAGATGGATCAAAAAGTTCAAAAAAATTTCTTTAGAACTTTTAACTTGGTCAAAAAATAAATACAGCCACCCAATTTCACATCCAATGGTCAAGACGACCACCTTATACCAAAGGTAAATAATCTCCTTATATAATTTTTTATTATTATTTTGATTAGTTCAGTGGAGAAAATAGCCCCTACTCGTTTTTTCAAATAGTTTAAGAGTTAGTTTTTTTGATGTAAGTGGGGTGGTGTTAGTGGTCTTATTATATACATTATTACCATGGGGTTATAACTACTACCAAGTTATACAAAAGCATTTAAAAGACGTCTCCGAAAGGGTAGGGAGGCATGTCACCATAGTCCCACCACCAACTTTCAAATGACTGAAAAAAGGACTTGCGTGATACACATGCTCAAATGCATTTCAAAACCAAAGGCCACATAGAATGGTGAGTTTATATGTACTAATGGATTATATGAGCTTGCATAAACTTTCTTGTATGAAAGTTCCTGCAGCGCCTCCACAAGGGGCATGTCCGAGGTCCACATGGTGACGCCTAAACTAAGGCTCTGATACCACCTGTCACCGACTTCTAGTTTGATTTGGCTTTAACCCATGCGGCACTTGGTACCCCAACCCTCTAAGAGCACTAAGTCAGCCTACCCAGTTTCCCCGCCTAGGTGTCTTAGCCTACACCACCTCAGACCAGAACAAATACTACAAGGGACAACTGCCAGCACAAAGAGACCAGGCAAGCACTTGAGGAAGTACCATATTGTGTTGTTGCAAGAAGGGAAGCATTTTTCCTGTTTAAGATGAATAATGTGGAGTTAGATATTAATGAGCAGCAAGTATTTGCATATCACTCACCATGACGGATATACAATTAGAGTAATTTAGGACTAGAAATTAGGAACTCTCTAGAACTTGGGAGGTCCTAGGACTCTAGAAG